GCAGCTTACAAGAAGTGGAAGATTGGACAAATGACCAGGGAGGAGTATAAAAATATTGCTCAGGCATGCAGGAGTGAAATCAGGAAGGCCAAATCACACTTGGAGTTGCAGCTAGCAAGGGATGTTAAGAGTAACAAGAAGGGTTTCTTCAGGTATGTTAGCAACAAGAAGAAAGTCAAGGAAAGTGTGGGCCCCTTACTGAATGAGGGAGGCAACCTAGTGACAGAGGATGTGGAAAAAGGTAATGTACTCAATGCTTTTTTTGCCTCTGTCTTCACGAACAAGGTCAGCTTCCAGACTGCTGCACTGGGCAGCACAGTATGGGGAGGAGGTGACCAGCCCTCTGTGGAGAAAGAAGTGGTTTGGGACTATTTAGAAAAACTGGACAAGGGTGCTAAAGGAGTTGGCGGATGTGATTGCAGAGCCATTGGCCATTAGCTTTGAAAACTCATGGCGATTGGGGAAGGTTCCGGATGACTGGAAAAAGGTTAATGTAGTGCCCATCTTTAAAGAAGGGAAGGAGGAGGATCCGGGGAACTACAGGCCAGTCAGCCTCACCTCAGTCCCTGGAAAAATCATGGAGCAAGTCCTCAAGGAATCAATTCTGAAGCACTTAGAGGAGAAGAAAGTGATCAGGAACAGTCGGCATGGATTCACCAAGGGCAAGTCATGCCTGACTAACCTAATTGCCTTCTATGAGGAGATAACTGGGTCTGTGGATGAGGGGAAAGCAGTGGATGTGTTATTCCTTGACTTTAGCAAAGCTTTTGAGACCGTCTCCCACAGTATTCTTGCCGGCAAGTTAAAGAAGTATGGGCTGGATGAACGGACTATAAGGTGGATAGAAAGCTGGCTAGTTTGTCAGGCTCAACGGGTAGTGATCAATGGCTCCATGTCTAGTTGGCAGCCGGTTTCAAGCGGAGTGCCCCAAGGGTCAGTCCTGGGGCCGGTTTTGTTCAATATCTTCATTAATGATCTGGAGGGTGGAGTGGACTGCACTCTCAGCAAGTTTGCAGATGACACTAAACTGGGAGGCATGGTAGATACGCTGGAGGGTAGGGCTAGGATACAGAGGGATCGACAAATTAGAGGATTGGGCCCAAAGAAATCTGATGAGGTTCAACAAGGACAAGTGCAGGGTCCTGCACTTAGGACGGAAGAATCCCATTCACTGTTACAGATTAGGGACCGAATGGCTAGGAAGCAGTTCTGCAGAAAAGGACCTAGGGGTTACAGTGAACGAGAAGCTAGATATGAGTCGACAGTGTGCCCTTGTTGCCAAGAAGTCTAACGGCATTTTGGGCTGTATAAGTAGGGGCATTGCCAGCAGATCGAGGGAGGTGATCATTCCCCTCTATTCGACATTGGTGAGGCCTCATCTAGAGTACTGTGTCCAGTTTTGGGCCCCACACTACAAGAAGGATGTGGAAAAATTGGAAAGAGTCCAGCAGAGGGCAACAAAAATGGATTAGGGGGCTGGAGCACATGACTTATGAGGAGAGGCTGAGGGAACTGGTATTGTTTAGTTTGCAGAAGAGAAGAATGAGGGGGGATTTGATAGCTGCTTTCAACTACCTGAAAGGGGGTTCCAAAGAGGATGGATCTAAATTGTTCTCAGTGGTAGCAGACAACAGAATAAGGAGTAATTGTCCCAAGTTGCAGTGGGGGAGGTCTAGGTTGGATATTAGGAAAAACTTTTTCGCTAGGAGGGTGGTGAAGCACTGGAATGCCTAGGGAGGTGGAATCTCCTTCCTTAGAGATTTTTAAGGTCAGGCTTGACAAAGCCCTGGCTGGGATGATTTAGTTGGGAATTGGTCCTGCTTTGAGCAGGGGGTTGGACTAGATGACCTCCTGAGGTCCCTTCCAACCCTGATATTCTATGATTCTAAGTCTCAACTGGAGTATTGTGTGCAGTTCTGGGTGCCACATTTCAGGGAAGAGGTGGACAAATTGGAGAAAGTCCAGAGAAGAGCAACAAAAATTATTAAAGGTCTAGAAAACATGACCTCTGAGGGAAGATTGAAAAAAGAAAAAAAAACTGGGTTTGTTTAGTCTGGAAAAGAGAAGACTGAGAGGGGACATAACCGTTTTCAAGAGTGTAAAAGTTTGTTATGAGGAGGAGGGGGGAAATTGTTCTTCTTAACTGACAAGAAGCAATGGGCTTAAATTGCAGCAAGGGAAGTTTAGGTTGAACATTACGAAAAACTTCCTAACTGTCAGGGTGGTTAAGCAATGGAATAAATTGCCAAGGGAGGTTGTGGAATCACCGTCAGAGGTTTTTAAGATCAGGTTAGATGAACACATGTCAGGACTGGATTAGATAATACTTAGTCCTGCCATGAATGCAGGGGACTGGACAAAATGACCTCTCAAGGTCCCTTCCAGTCCTATGATTATTTTTTCTATTGCATCTGGAAAAAAGAAAAGGGGGGGGAAAAAAGCTCTACATCAGAAAGTGACAAGGATTTGGACAGGGATATGTGCTTATTTATTAGGGCTGTCAAGTGATTAAAAAATTGCAATTAATTGCACTGTTAAATGAAAATAGAATACCCTTTATTTAAATATTTTTGGATGTTTTCTACATCTTACAAATATAACAATACAAAGTGTACAGTGTTCACTTTATATTCATTTTTATTACAAATATTTGCACTGTTAAATACAAAAAAGTATTTTTCAGATCTAATACAAGGACTGTAGTGCAATGTCTTTATCATGAAAATTGAACTTACAAATGTAGAATTATGTACAAAAAATAACTGCATTTAAAAATAAAACAATGTAAATCTTTAAAGCCTACAAGTCCACTCAGTCCTATTTCTTGTTCAGCCAATCGCTCAGACAAACAAGTTTGTTTACATTTGCTGGAGATAATGCTGCCTGCTTCTTGTTTACGTCACCTGAAAGTGAGAACAGGTGTTCGCATGGCATTGGTGTATCTGGCATCGCAAGATATTTACATGCCAGATGCACTAAAGATTTATATGTCCCTTCATGCTTCAACCATCATTCCAGAGGACCTGTGTCCATGCTGATGATGGGTTCTGCTCGATAACAATCGAAAGCAGTGCTGACAGACGCATTTTCATTATCTGAGTCAGATGCCACCAGCAGACGGTTGAGTCTCTTTTTTTGGTGGTTCTGATTCTGTAGTTTCCATGTCAGAGTGCTGCTCTTTTAAGACTTCTGAAAGCATGCTCCACACCCCGTCTTTCTCAGATTCTGGAAGGTACTTCAAATTCTTTAACCTTGGGTCGAGGAAATCTCACATTGGCACCTTCTTTGCATTTTGTCAAATCTGCAGCGAAAGTGTTCTTAAAATGAACAACATGTGCTGAGTCATCATCTGAGACTGCTATAACATGAAATATATATGGCAGAATGTGGATAAAATAGTCAGATACATACAATTCTCCCCCAAGGAGTTCAGTCACAAATGTAATTAATGCATTATTATTATTATTTTTTAAACGAGTGTCATCAGCATAGAAGCATGTCCTCTGGATTGGTGGCTGAATCATGAGGGACATATGACTATCGCTTCTCAGCTCTATGAGCCAAGATGTGAAAAAATATCTGGCATGTAAATACCTTGCAATGCCAGCTACAAAACTGCCATGCGAATGGCAGTTCTCACCTTCAGGTGGCATGAACAAGAAGCGGGCAGCATTATTTCCTGTAAATGTAAACAAACTTGTTTGTCAGAGCAATTGGCTCAACAAGAAGTAGGACTGAGTGGACTTATAGGCTCTAAAGTTTTGCATGGTTTTGTTTGAGTGCAGTTATGTCACCAAAAACCTACGTTTTTAAGTTACACTTTCACAATAGCGAGATTTCACTACAGTACTTGTACGAGGTGAATTGAAAGATACTGTTTCTTTTCTTAATCATTTTTACAGTGCAAATATTTGTAATAAAAAATATAAAGTGAGCACTGTACACTTTGTATTCTGTGTTGTAATTGAAATCAATATATTTTAAAATGTAGAACATTTAATATTTCATACATTTCAGTTGGTAATCTGTTCAACAGTGCAATTAAAACTGATTAATCTCAATTAATTTTTTTAATAGCGATTATTTTTTTTTGAGTTAATCACATGAGTTAATTGTGATCAACCAACAACCCTAATAATTAACTTTAGGAAAAACAAATAAGTATTTTAGGAAAATTTGTCAGAGTGGCCACCAGCAAGATTTGATGGCCACACTCTGAGGCCACCAAAAGATCTGTTGTGAGAACCCCCTGTTCTAGAGCATTTGTCTGCAGGGAGAGAGCCTGCAGGGAATCAATGTGTGAAATGGATTCAAGCCCCCTCTGAAACCTCCCCTCTTGCCCTGACAGGCTGAGGAATCACATCCACATTTTGCTCCAGATCCTCCTGTCTTCCAGGGGACAGGGAAGGGAAATGGCTGTGATGAAGCCAGCTCAGGTAGGAGATTTTCAGGGTGCTGCAGGACAGGGTGTGGTAGAGAGGGAGGGGCAGGCAACACACAGGGGGAAGTAGGGAGGGTGTGACAAACCTGCTGGGACATGGTCAACCTGGGCCTGATTTTCTGAGCAAGCCCTTTGGCAGGGCGGGGAGCTGGAGGGAGGGAGAGGAATCCCCCATTTCTCAAACAGGAAACACCCCCCTGGGCAGGGCTGGGAAAACTGACCAGATTCCCAGTGCTGGAGCCTGACCCCACTGGCCAGAGACTGCTGTGAAATACGAAGGGAAGCTGTTGAGATTCCTGCCCTGGCTCAGAGCTCTGCTTCCTGCATCAGCCTGTGGCTGGCCGGTGTGTGGGAAATGAGAAGACTCTGCCCTGTCCTGTCTGCTGGGGGAACAAGGCACTCTCACCTTCTCCCCACCCCCTGAAGCCTCCTGGCTGCTCTGAGCAGGGTGTTGGGGGGGGAGGAGATGGGATTCTGCTACTCTGGGCCTCCTCCCCTGTAAATAGTGAGATTGTGGCTGGGGCAGCAGGTGCTGAGTGGGGAACTCTTGTTGTTTCAGATGCCGGTGACCTTCGAGGAGGTGGCTGTGTATTTCACACAGGGGCAGGGGGCTCTGCTGGACCCCACTCAGAGAGCCCTCTACAGGGACGTCATGCAGGAGAACTACAAAACGGTGACCTCGCTGGGTAAGGGATTCCCGTCCCCTCAGATACTAGAAGGCGTGGGGTCTGCGTGTCTGAATCTGGTCAGTTCTTCCCTGCTCAGTTAGATTAGAGGGGAAATGGACTCCAGAGTCTACACATGCAGTGTGAGAGACTTTCATCTCCATGCCGCAGGGGTAGTCTATTTTTTTGTCAAGGTCCAAATTTCTTGGTGAAAGTATAGTCAAGATCCAGACTCTAGAGAAAATAAATAAGTAAATAAAAAGATTTTGGGGTCCATTCAAGAGTGTCTGATGGTCCAGATTTGGCCTGTGGTCCACCTGTTGACTACCCCGCCATGCCCCCTCCAATGGGATCAGGAAGTCATAAACCTGCTGATTCATCCCCATCCCTCCAGCTTTCAAAGGGGCAGAAGCAGTGTATGGATCTGTCTGTTATTTCTCACTAATTTATAGTGTTGGTGTGGCCCCGTTCATCCCAGGATGGACAGACACTAAGGTGGGGGAGGCAGTACCTTTGACTGGACCAATTTCAGTTAGTGAAAGATATGCTTTTGAAGTTGGCCCAAGAAAAGATATTACGTCACCCACCTGGTGTCTCTTTATACTCACAGTCCCTGTGATCCTCCATTGTTGGGACTGGCTCCAGCCATGGGGAAGGCTCCGTAGGTTTAGAAATAGGCAGGGGTTTAACACCAGAGCTGTGTCTGCATCAGCAAGTCCCCCAGAGTGCACAGATCCTGGAAGCCCCCAGTGATGCTGTGACAGCTCCTCCCCCCCACCCCCAGACATCTGCCTCTCCCTGGGGGCTCAGTGGCCATGTTCCCCTCTGTTCAGATTCTACATCCACATAATTACAGTGGCCATGTTCCTGTCTTTTGGGATTCCACAGTCCCCCAGCTCAGCACGGGGCAGGTTGAGCTCAGGGAATGTTCTTTGTGACAACAAAGAACAATCAGCAATCGATTTATCCGGGATCGATATATCGCGTCTCATTAAGACGCGATATATTGATCCCGGAACGCGCTCCCCGTCTACTCTGGAACTCCACCAGAGCGAGTGGCGGTAGCGCAGTCGACGGGGTAGCCGCGGCCGTCGATCCTGTGCCGTGTGGACCCCAGGTAATTTGATCCAAGATACTTCGACTTCAGCTACGCTATTTGCGTAGCTGAAGTTGCGTATCTTGGATCGATTCCGCCCCCAGTGTAGACCAGCCCAAATACTCTGTCAATACTCGAGATACACCCTCATCTTCTTGATTTCCCCCCCTTACGAGCAGGATTTCCTGTTCCCAAACCGGAGCTGATCACCCGGCTGGAATGCGGGGAAGAGCCGTGGATCCCTGATCTCCACACCTCCAAGGAATGGGACATCCACAAAGGAACCCGCACAGGTGAGGAATCAGTGAAACTGACACACACACCATCTGGCGAGTGAATGAAAAAGCTGGGATGCCTAAAGATGTGTTGTTAGCGAGCTCTCCGGGTTGTGTTTCACCCCACCCAGTCAGGCTGTAGCCCTCTGGTATCATTTCATCATGGCAGATATCACCTATGGCTTCCCACCCATCCTTTAGTGTTACCCACACACTCTATGGCACCCACCTTTACCCTGTTCCTAGGACTCAAGGCATAACACAATTAATTTAGGTACCCTGCCCCCCACCCTGTTCCTAGGGGTCAAAGCATAATCTTCTGCGGGCTTACAGGACATTTTAACCAGTGAAAGAGCCTTACACAGTAATATCCTTAACCTCTATTTATTAACAGTTATCAAGACAGAACACACACGCTAAGCATACAATGCTCACCACTCCCAACAAGGCAGATGAACTTTTCCTGGTGGCCAGTCAGGATTGGTTTGTCCAGGGACTCCAGCGTCTGCACGATATAGTCAGCAGGGGGTTGAGATCTGGCATCTCTGATCTTGGGCCGGGTCCTGGAGTTAGTTCTAAGGAATTTCCTTTTGGACCCCAGCTTATATAGTGGCATTTGAGTCCTGCTTAGCTTGACCATAAGCTATCATTTTATTAAAGTATTACAAAATAGTTCTTTGACCAAGCCTAACATATTGCAAAACAATTCTTTACTCTATCATACCCCACCACCTGAGCTGATTTAAACCTTGCATAATTAGTTATGGATCAGTGTAGCAAGGCAAAGACTCACCAGCGCACCGCCTCCTGCTGGTCGTCTGGGAATTAGCTCTTTTCCAGCATACAGAGCGCCCTCTGCTGGCTAGTGGCTCACCTGCCTTAGGCCCCATGTCCCTCCCAGACCCCGGTGCCCCTTTACCTCAGGGTTCTGCCCCAGCAGTGCCCCCACACTCTGGGTCTCCCCTCCCAGGGGAACCCCCAGTCCTCTAACCCCACCTTGCCTCTGGCTACTGCCAGTCATCATCTAGCCCCCGCTCACAGGGACAGACTGCAGTCTGTAATGGCCACTCAGCATTGGCAAGGGTTTAGGACCAGCTGCCTCTGCCTATCCCCAGGCTGCACCTCTGTGGCCGCAGTACCTGCTTTGGCCTTTAGCAAGGCCTCAGCCTGGGGACTTGCCAGGCTGGAGCTCCCCAGCTCCTCTTGCCTTTCCCCAGCACTGCTCTGCTCTGCTCCCGGTACCCTGAGCTCCCAGGCAGCCAGGTCCTTCTCTCGCCACAGCTAGAGAGACTCCTCTGTCTCCTGGCCCCACAGCCCCTTTATCAGGGCCAGCTGGGCCCTGATTGGCATGGCCCCAGCTGTGGCTGTTCCCCCATCAGCCTAGCTTGGCTGCTTTTAACCCCTGTTCTCCAGGAGTGGGGCAGCTGCCCACTATAATCAGACAGAAACAAGCAAAGAACCAGACAGAGACGATACAGATAAAGAACAGCAAAGCAGGGACCATAAAGACAAAACAGTAAAGAAGGAGGGATTTCACAATCACAACTGTTAATAAGTGATTCCTTGCCAGACAGGATGCTGTCCAACTAAGTTTTCTTTAAACATCTTAAGCCCTGTTCCTTTATCTGTTGGTGGTGGGTGCCATTAGGAGAGGATCTCCTTCTTAGCAGCCCGATATTTCATTGTTTTGATACCATTTAGAGGGAATGTGACTTTCTGCTTCTTGTCTCATGGCTCCTGCTGTCCTAATGTGGCTGCAGAAAAAGGCCTCAGGCCTTACAGTGAGGAATCACCTTACAGTTAATGTAACCCTGTGCAGACTCACCCCACGGTGCCTCCTGCTCCTCTCGTCCAGGAATTAGCTCTGCCAGCCTTGGAGTGCCCTCTGCAGGCCAGTGTCCCACTGCCGCTTGGCCCCTGTGTCCCTCCTTGGACTCTGGTGCCCCGTTATCTGGGGTGCTGCCCCCTGCCGTACACCCCTCAGTCTCAGGGTCTCCCCTCCCCAGGAAACCCCCACCCCTCTATCCCCACCTCACCTCACCTCAGACATAGGCTACTGCCAGTCACCAACTCACCCCTGAACCCTGGGGCAGACTGCAGTGTCAGCCACTCATCATAGGCAAGGTTGGGTCTGGACCTGCTGCCCCTGTCTGCAAACCAGTGCCTCTATGGGGCCTTGGACAAGGTCCTGCAGCCTGGGGAGTTGCCAGCCTGGAGCTCCCCAGCCCCTCTGGTCTTTCCCCAACCCTGCCTCACTCTAGGCACCCTGAGCTTCCCAGCAGCCAGGCCCCTCTCTCTCTTTGAAAGCAGAGAGACTCTGTGTTCCTGCGCCTGGCTTCCCTGCCTTTATAGGGCCAGCTAGGTCTGTTTGGGGCGTGGCCCCAGCTGTGGCTGCTTCCCAATCAGCCCAGCTTTTCCCCCTGCCCCAGCCCTCTCCAGGGCTGTTTTAAGCCCTTTCAGGCAGGAGCGGGTGACCTCCCCGCTACACTCCCCGACTTTACTTCCCTGGGAGTATTTGGATGGGATGTGGAGGCAGAGTCCAATTTCCGAGGGCATGTCTACACTACAATCTTAAGTCAACCTATGTTAGATCGACTTACAGCCACCACAGTAATTACTGCCGTAGCTGATGTCCACGCTCCCCTCCTTCTGTCGGTGGTTTGCGTCTTCACCAGAGCGCTTCCACTGTCTGAAGAGGGGCAGTGTGGGGAGCTGAGCCATGAACCGGGGGAAGCTGCCTTGGGCTTCTCGCCTCCGGTGGGGAGATCAGTGCCCGGAGTCCAGTTGGCTGCTGTGCTCTCAGTGGGGAGCCAAGAGCCAGGAGGTCAGCTGGGCTGCCAGCAGGGAACATGGCGCCTGGACCGCGGGGGGCAGCAGGGCTCTTAGTGGGGAGCGGAGAGCATGGGCAGTAGCCCAAGCCAGAAGCCCAGGTGGTAGCCCGGCTTGGAGCGGAGACCTGGCAGCAGCCCAGCTGTGGAGCCAGGAGTCTGGCTTTCTTGTCAATTTCACAGCTCCAGCAGAGCTGTGAAATTCACAAGACAGCCAACAGCCCATGTAAGGAAGGCAGTGTCTACACAGACAATGTGTCGCCCTCACTACACGGACATAAGCCCTACGCCTCTCCTGGAAGTGGAGTTATTATGCTGGTATAGTAGGGCACTTAGGCCTGGTCTACACTACGAGTTTAGGTCGACTTTAGCCGCGTTAAATCGACTTAAGCCTGGACACGTTTACACTACGAAGCCCTTTCTTTCGACTTAAAGGGCCCTTTAAACCGGTTTCTTAACACCACCTCGACAAGGGGATTAGCGATAAAATCGGCCTTAGGGGGTCGGATTTGGGTTAGTGTGGACGGAATTCGACATTATTGGCCTCCGGGAGCTATCCCACAGTGCTTCATTGTGACCGCTCTGGACAGCACTCTCATCTCAGATGCACTGGCCAGGTAGACAGGAAAAGCCCCGCGAACGTTTGAATTTCATTTCCTGTTTGCTCAGCGTGGAGAGCACAGGTGACCATGCAGAGCTCATCAGCACAGGTAACCATGATGGAGTCCCAGTCCCAGTCCCAGGATCGCAGAAGAGCTCCAGCCTGGACCGAGCGGGAGGTACGGGATCTGATCGCCATCTGGGGAGATGAAGCAGTGCTCGCCGAACTCCGAAACAGTAAAAGAAACGGCAAAACATTAGAAAAGATCTCCAAGGCCATGAAGGACAGAGGCCATAACAGGGACGCACAGCAGTGCCGCGTGAAAATTAAGGAGCTAAGGCAAGCCTACCACAAAGCCAGAGACGCAAACGGAAGGTCCGGGGCTGAGCCGCAAACATGCCGCTACTACGCGGAGCTGCATGTCATTCTAGGGGGTGCAGCCACCACTAGCCCAAGCGTGTGCTATCAGTCCCTCTCTGGAAACAGGGAAGCGGGTTCGGCGGACGAGGAAGATGAGGATGGAGAGAACATAGATAGCTCACAGCAGCAAGGAAGCGGAGAAACCAGTTACCCCAACAGCCAGGATATGTTTGTCACCCTGGACCTGGAACCAGTAACCCCCGAACTCACCCAAGACCCTGAGGGCACACAGGGGACCTCTGGTGAGTGTACCTTTGTAAATATTACACATGGTTTAAAAACAAGCGTGTTTAATGATTAATGATTAATTTGCCCTGGCAATCGCGGCCAGTACAGCTACTGGAAAAGTCTGTTAACGTGTATGGGGATGGAGCGGAAATCCTCCAGGGACATCTCCAGAAAGCTCTCCTTCATGTACTCCCAAAGCCTTTGCAAAAGGTTTCTGGGGAGGGCTGCCTTATCCTGTCCGCCATGGTAGGACACTTTACCACGCCAGGCCAGTAGCACGTAGTCTGGAATCATTGCATAACAAAGCATGGCAGCGTATGGTCCCGGTGTTTGCTGGCATGCAGACAACATCCATTCCTTATCACTCTTTGTTATCCTCAGGAGAGTGATATCATTCACGGTCACCTGGTTAAAATGGGGCAATTTTATTAAGGGGACATTCAGAGGTGCCCCTTCCTGCTCTGCTGAACAGAAATATTCCCCGCTGTTAACCACGCGGTGGGGGGGAGGGTTGAAGTGACCATCCCAGAGAATTGGGTGTGTGGGGGAGGGGAGTTAGTTGGGTTTGTGCTGCATGTTAAACCTGAAATCGCAGTCCCTCCTTTTACATTGCAAACCCATTTTAAATGGCACGGGTGCTTGGTATGGGAAATGAGGGCAGAACTGTTTGAAACCATCCCCACATGTTAAGAAGGTTAAAAAAGCCCAAAGACTATATGTCTTACCATGGCTGCCTGCAAGCTGAAATCTGTGTCCTGGCACTGCGTGAGTGATCTCTCACACCAAACCAGGAGACTCTCAATATAAGAGGAAAAATGCGACCTTGTAACGAAAGCACATGTGCTGTGTGATGTTGTGAACAGCAAAATCTAACGTGAAAGAGTGTACCCATTGTTCTCTAAAATGTATCTTTTTTAACAACCTCTCCCTTCTCCACCAGCTGCAAATCTTACTCCTTCGCAGAGGCTAGTGAATATTCGAAGAAGGAAGCGAAGGACGCGTGACGAAATGTTTACTGAACTACAGACTGCCTCCCACGCTGACAGAGCACAGCAGAATGCGTGGAGGCAGTCAATGACTGATTTTAAAAAAGCCCAATATGAGCGAGAGGAGAGGTGGCGTGCTGAATCGCGGGCTGAAGAGGAGAAGTTGCGTGCTGAAACGCGGGCTGAAGAGGAGAGGTGGCGTCAACTTGTACTCAGAAAGCAAGAGTCGATGCTCCAGCTGCTGGAGCATCAAAGTGATATGCTCCTGCGTATGGTTGAGCTGCAGGAAAGGCAGCAGGAGCAGAGACCGCCGCTACAGCCCCTCTGTAACCAACAGCCCTCCTCCCCAAGTCCCATTGCCTCCTCACCCAGACGCCCAAGAACACGATGGGGGGGCCTCCGGCCACCCAATCACTCCAGCCTAGATGATTTCCAGTGCAATAAGTTCTAAAGTTTTAAAGTGCACTGTGTCTTTTTCCTTCCCTCCTCCCCCACCCATCCAGGCCTACCTTTGCAATTATCCCCCTAGTTGTGTGCTGAATTAATAAAGAATGCATGAATGTGAAGTAACAATGACTTTATTGCCTCTGCAAGTGGTGCTCGAAGGGGGGAGGGTAGTAGGGGAGGGTGGGGTGGTTGGTTTGCAGGGAAGTAGAGTTAACCGGGTGGGGGGGGGAGGGGCGGAGGGTTCACCAAGGAGAAACAAACAGAAGTTTCACTCCGTAGCCTGGCCAGTCACAAAACTGGTTTTCAACGCTTCTCTGATGCGCACCGCGCCCTGCTGTGCTCCTCTAACCGCCCTGGTGTCTGGCTGCACGTAATCAGCGGCCAGGCGATTTGCCTCAACCTCCCACCCCGCCATAAATGTCTCCCCCTTACTTTCACAGATATTGTGGAGCGCACAGCAAGCAGCAATAACAATGGGGATATTCTTTTCGCTAAGGTCTGAGCGAGTCAGTAAGCTGCACCAGCGCGCTTTTAAACGGCCAAATGCACATTCCACCACCATTCGGCACTTGCTCAGCCTGTAGTTGAACAGGTCCTGACTACTGTCCAGGCTGCCTGTGTATGGCTTCATGAGCCATGGCATTAAGGGGTAGGCTGGGTCCCCAAGGATAACGATAGGCATTTCAACATCCCCAATGGTTATTTTCTGGTCCGGGAAGAAAGTCCCTTCCTCCAGCTTTCGAAACAGAAGAGACTGCCTGAAGACGCGAGCATCATGAACCCTTCCCGGCCAGCCCACGTTGATGTCGGTGAAACGTCCCTTGTGATCCACCAGGGCTTGCAGCAGCATTGAAAAGTACCCCTTGCGGTTTATGTAGTCGGTGGCTTGGTGCGCCGGTGCCAAGATAGGGATATGGGTTCCGTCTATCGCCCCACCACAGTTTGGGAATCCCATTGCAGCAAAGCCATCCACTATGGTCTGCACGTTTCCCAGAGTCACTACCCTTGATATCACCAGGTCTCTCATTGCCCTGGCAACTTGGATCACAGCAGCCCCCACAGTAGATTTGCCCACTCCAAATTGATTCCCGACTGACCGGTAGCTGTCTGGCGTTGCAAGCTTCCACAGGGCTATCGCCACTCGCTTCTCCACTGTGAGGGCTGCTCTCATCCTGGTATTCTGGCGCTTCAGGGCAGGGGAAAGCAAGTCACAAAGTTCCATGAAAGTGCCCTTACGCATGCGAAAGTTTCGCAGCCACTGGGCATCGTCCCAGACCTGCAACACGATGCGGTCCCACCAGTCTGTGCTTGTTTCCCGGGCCCAGAATCGGCGGTCCACGGCATGAACCTGCCCCAGTAACACCATGATTTCCACATTGCTGGGGCCTGTGCCTTGTGAGAGGTCCATGTCAATTTCCTCATCACTATCGTCGCCGCGCTGCAATAGCCTCCTCCTCAGCTGGTCCTGGTTTTGCTTTGGCATGTCCAGGAGGCTCTGCATATACTCCAGGACAATGCGCGTGGTGTTCATAGTGCTCATAATTGCCGCGGTGATCTGAGCGGGCTCCATGATCCCAGTGCTGGCTATGGCGTCTGGTCTGAAAAAAGGCGCGAAAGTAGTATCTGACGGACCAGGGGAAGAAGGGAGGGAGGGAGAGAGGGAGGGAGGGAGGGGCGAGTGACGACATGGCGTACAGGTACAGGGAATTAAAATCAAGAAAGGTGGCTTTGCATCAGGGAGAAACACAAACAACTGTCACACAGAATGCCCCCCCCCCCCCAAAGATTGAACTCAAAAGCCTGGGTTTAGCAGGAGGGAGGGGGGAAGCAAATGAATGCAGAATAAATCTATTTTTTACATCTTAAGACGACGGTGCAGCATGACTGATAGCCCTTGGCATTTTCTGGGTGCTTGGCAGCAAATACTGGGCGCTTGGCAGTAAGCCTTCAGGTCTATTGCACGATCTGATGCCCACTGCAATATGACAATGATGGATACCAATCGTAATATGCTATCTACTGCCCAAAAGGCAAGGGGTTTCTGCTGTGTAGCAATCTAGCCCCACGTCTGCCAGCACCCAGATCGCCATCGGCCTCTTCTGGGTGCTTAGCAGACAATACTGGGCACTTGGCAGAAAATAGCATACTACGACTCTGCTAACGTGCAATGAGCCAACAGGGCGCATGGCAGAAAATAGCATACTACGACTGATAACCATCATTGTCTGCCCGGGTGCCCATGATCGACAGCCACTGCAGTACGACGACGACGGTTACCAGTCGTAATAAACCATCTTCTACCAAAAGGCAAGGGGCTGGTGCAATGCAGCCCTACGGCTGCCAGCCCCACGGCTGCCAGCACCCAGATCGCCAATGAAGGCTACCAGTCATGCTGCACCGTCTACCGCCAAAAGGCAGTAAGCTGCTGCTGCTGTTTAGCAATGCAGTCCCACGTTTGCCGGCACCCGGAAGACATATGGTGACGGTGAGCTGAGCTGAGCGGGCTCAATGCTTGGCATGGTATGTTGTCTGCACAGGTAACCCAGGTAAAAAGGCGCGAATCTATTGTCTGCGGTTGCTGTGACGGCGGGGGAGGGGCCTGACGCAATGTACCCAGAACCCCTCGCGGCACTGCTTTGCATCATTCGGGCATTGCGATCTCAACCCATAATTCCAATGGGCGCCGGAGACTCCGGGAACTGTGGGATAGGTACCCATAGTGCAATGCGCCGGAAGTCGACGCTAGCCTCGGTACTGTGGACACGGTCCGCCGACTTCATGCACTTAGAGCATTTTATGTGGGGACACACACAATCGGCTGCATACAACCGGTTTCTATAAAACCGGCTTCTATAAATCCGACCTAATTTTGTAGTGTAGACCTAGCCTTACACTGGCAGGACAAGGCTGTAGTGTGTACACTGACATAATTAGGTCATGTAAGCTGCCATATGTCGACCTAACTGTGTAGTGTAGACCAGCCCTCAGTCTCCCCATTAGTTACTGTGTTGTGTTTTCCCCTCTGTGTTGTTCCCTGTTCTGTCCTTTCTCCCCAGCACAGGGAATGACTCCTGTCTGGATTCTCTCTCTCCCAGCAGTTCATGAGGCGATGATGAGTGAGAACAAGGAGAAGAATTCACAGCAGGAAGATCCCGAGCAAGTGGAACTGCAGGGGAACTTTTGGAGAAGAGCCGAAGGGAATTTCTCCCAGTCCTTGGAACAGGGCAAAACTTGGAGAAGTCGGCAGAGGCCAGAGAGGCAGTTGGGAAACCACCCAATAAAGAAAGAGGAGGAATCCATTGAACGTAGGGTAGGATGCAAGAATCCCAAGGAAACCACAGCCCCACAGACAAATCCCAAGAAAGAAAAACCCTATAAATGTCTGAGCTGTGAGAAAAGCTTCAATCAGAAATCGAACCTTATCACTCATCAGAGAATCCACACAGGCGAAAAACCCCATAAGTGCTTAGACTGCGGGAAAAGCTTCAGCCAGAAATCGTCCCTTATTATACATGGGAGAAAGCACACAGGAGAGAGGCCTTATAAATGTTTTGAGTGTGGGAAATGTTTCAATCAGGTCTCAAACCTGACTACGCATCAGAGAATTCATACTGGAGAGAAACCTCATAAATGCTTGAAATGTGGCAAAAGGTTTAGTCAGAGATCAGCCCTGATTACACATCAGAGAATCCATACGGGAGAGAAACCCCATAAGTGCTTGGAATGTGGGAAAAGTTTTAGTCAGAGATCAGCCCTTATTACACATCAGAGAATCCATATGGCAGATAAAATGTACAAATGTCTCAAATGCGGGAAAAGTTTCAGTGTGAAATCAGCCCTTATTCTGCATCACACAATCCATGCAGGAAAGAAACTTCATAAATGTTTGGACTGTGGGAAGAGTTTCAGTGACAGCTCAAACCTCACTAAACATCGGAGAATCCACACAGGAGAGAGACTGTATCAGTGCCTCGACTGTGGGAAAAGCTTCAATCGGAAATCGAACCTTCTTACCCATCGGAGAACCCACACAGGAGAGAAACCCCATAAATGCTGGGACTGTGGGAAAAGCTTCAGTCAGAGATCATCCCTTATGAAACATGTGAAAATCCACACGGGAGAGCGGCCATATAAATGTCTTGAGTGTGGGAAATGTTTCAATCAGAACATAAATCTTATTACGCATCAGAGAACCCACACGGGAGAGAGACCCTACAAGTGCCTGTACTGTGAGAAAAGTTTTACTGTGAGGTCAGCCCTGATTACACATCAGAGAATCCATACAGGAGAGAAACCCCATAAGTGCTTGGACTGCGGGAAAAGTTTTAGTCAGAGACCAGCCCTTATTACACATCAGAGAATGCATACGGGAGAGAAACCCTTTAAATGTCTCAATTGCGGGAAAAGTTTCACTGTGAGATCCACCCTTATTACGCATCAGGCAATCCACACAGGAAAGAAATCCCATAAATGTTTGGACTGTGGGAAGAGCTTCAGTCAGAGTTCATCCCTTATTAAACATGGGAGAATGCACACGGGAGAGAAACCCTACATATGTCTTGAGTGTGGGAAAAGCTTTAGTCAGAGATCATCTCTTATTATACATGGCAGAATGCACACAGGAGAGAAACCCTATAAATGTCTTGAGTGTGGGAAATGTTTCATTCAGAGGTCAAATCTTGTTACACATCAGAGATCCCACTCGGGAGAGAGACCCCATGAGTGCCTTGACTGTGGGAAAAGTTTCAAAGTGAGATCAGCCCTTGTTACACATCAGAGAATCCATACGGGAGAGAAACCCCATAAATGCTTGGACTGCGGGAAATCTTTTAGTCGCAGATCAGCCCTTATTACACATCAGATAATCCACACTGGAGAGAAGCCCCATAAATGCTTGGAATGTGAGAAAAGTTTCAATAACAGCTCGAACCTTACTAAACACCGGAGAATTCACACAAGAGGGAGCGACTCTAGAAATACCTCAACTGCAGGAAAAGATTCAGTCCAAGCTCATACATTATTACCCATCAGCGATCCACAGAAGAGAGAGAACTTGAATGTGGGGGAATCTTCAATTGGTGCTCCCACAGAATCAAGCATTGTCAGCTCCACTCAACTTCAAGCGGAGTTAATGCCATGTTGGACATCAGAGACTCCTCCACACAGCAGGGAAATTCTCTCAGGGCCCTAACTGGGGCCGGCCATGGTGACAAACCCATTTCCTCGTTCCCACACACATCAGGGCTATTTGGTTCCCAAGGATCCAGCTGCCCATCGCTGGGGTGAGGATCCAGCATCAGCCGAGCACCAACTGGTCAGTGACCCTCTGGCTCTGCCTGGTCTAAGCAAACCCCAGGCAGAGGAGGAGAAGCCCTGATCAGCCCCTCCTCCCTGCTGCAGCCCTGGCTGCTGAGCTGATGGGTCACAGGTGAGGAAAGGGCTATCGAGTGTTTGGGGCTCATGGGATAAGAGGCGAGGGGGAGCACAGGGGTAGAGAGGTGCTGCCTCATCAGTCATCCCCTCTGCCCCCCTCTCCCTGCCCCCTCTGCATTCAGCCAGCACCACTGAGAGGGGCTGATTCCCACAGACTGCAGCGGGTTCTCAAACTATTTACCATTGTGGGCTGCATATGCGGCCCATAATGCATTATGTGGGCCGCATCCAATACTACCTGTATGGCCCTGAGGATGTCATATGGGCTGGAGCTGTGTGCTGATTGGGCCGCATACAGCCCACGGGCCGCAGGTTGAGAACCACTGCCACAGGGCCTTTCGTGGGAGGCCTGGAAATCCCACCTCTGCCTCCGCAGCATCAGCCGCCGAGGGTCTGTCTGTGGTAGGAAACATGGTCGGGATCAGCCAGCTCATCTCCTCTGACCCTCCCCCACTCATCCTACCCTAGACTGAGCCTGAGCATCTAATTCATTCAGACCCCACCATTAGCAGAGTGACTGTTAGAGTCACTGAGTTCCCCCTCTGGGGATGCTGGGACAGTTTGCATAGTGGGGGTGCTGAGAGCCACTGAACCAAACTGTAAATCCTGGATAAGATGGAAATCACTTCAAGCCAGGGGATGCTGCAGCACCCCTTGTTCTGGCACCTGTGTCTGGGGGTAGATTCTCTCATTCCCAAATAGTCTCACATTACTCCGGGCCGTGCTGAAAAGCATTTAGTGTTTGTACATTTTCTCCCTTATGGGCCAGAATTAAACAGAATCCCACAAAAGTGGGAGCAGGGACAGTGAAATGTGGTGTTTTAGCTTCTGTTTTATTTGCGAGCGATGGGGTGAGTCCGAGGGATTCCCGCCTTCCCCCATCACCCTCATGCTCCACCGGGACACAGCAACCTCTGTCCAAACCTTGGAGAGTTTATCCCAGGGGTGGGCAAACTACGGCCCGGGGGCCAGATCCAGCCCACCAGCCATTTTAACCCGGCCCTCGGGCTCCCGCTGGGGAGCGGGGTCTGGAGCTTGCCCCCCTCCGGCACTCCAGGCAGGGAGCAGTATTGGGGGCCACTCCACGTGGCTCCCAGAAGCAGCGGCATGGCCCCCCTATGGCTCCTACACATAAGGGCAGCCAGGGGGCTCCGCTCTGCATGCTGCCCCTGCCCCAAGTGCCGCCCCTGCAGCTCCCATTGGCTGGGAACTGCAGCCAATGGGAGCTGTGGTGATGGTACCTGCGGATGGGGCAGTGTGCGGAGCCACCTGGCCGCGCCTCTGTGTAGGAGACGGAGAAGGGATATGCTGCTGCTTCCGGGAGCTGCTTCAGGTAAGCGCCATCCGGAGCCTGCACCCCATAGCCTCTCCCCATGCCCCAATCCCCTGTCCCAGCCCTGATCCCCCTCCCACTGTCCAAACCCCTTGATCCCATCCCAGAGCACCCTCCTGCACTCCAAACCTCTCATCCTCAGCCCCACCATAGAGCCAGCACTCCCAGCCAGAGCCCTCAACCCCCCGTGCCCTAGCCCCCTGCCCTAGCCCTGATCCCCCTCCTGCCCTCCAAACCCCTCGATCCCAGCTCAGAGCACCCTCCTGCACCCCAAAGCTCTCATCCCCAGCTGGAGCCTCCACCCCAGCCTGGAGTCCCTTCCACAGCTGGAACTCATTTCTGGCCCCACTCCCAAACAGCCCTCACCCCCTCCTGCACCCCAACCCCAATTTTGTGAGCATTCATGGCCCACCATACAATTTCTATTCCCAGATGTGGCCCTTGGGCCAAAAAGTTTGCCCACCTCTGGTTTATCCTCGCCTCATTCCGCCCGTCCACCTCCCAAAGTGTCACTTGCCACAGTGTTCTTGGCTCTCCATGCTTAGGAATGACAGCTTGATTTCCCTGACCCTAAATCAGACTCCTGAGGGCTGGAGAAGAAAGCACAGATTGAGCTTTCTGTGTTTATTGCTCTTTCCATCTATTGGCAAAAATTCCTTCCAGGCTTTTTTAGGCTAGTCCAGATCATTTGTAGATGGGAAGTTGGTCTGTCTTTCTTTCTTTCTTTCTTTCTTTCTTTTTCTTCATGCTCAAACTTTTGTAACTAACAACCATGAGGTGTGAAATAAAGCAGGCTTAGCCAGTACAGAGGGAAATGGGTAAATTTATTTTCCTCATAAAACGTCTTAAGAGTCTCTGGGATTTCACTTTATGAATGTGAAAGTGTTTTATAGCCCACGCTGGATTGTGGGTTATTCTCTATTCCTGAAGGCTGTTTGGTCACATACATTGATATTAGTTTAGTTCAGGGGTCGGCAACCTTTCAGAAGTGGTGTGCCGAGCCTTCATTTTATTCACTCTAATTTAAGATTTTGCGTGCCAGTAATACATTTTAACGTTTTTAGAAGGTCTCTTTCTATAAGTCTGTAATATATAACTAAACTATTGTTGTATGTAAAGTAAATAAGGTTTTTAAAATGTTTAAGAAGCTTCATTTAAAATTAAATTAAAATGCAGAGCCCCCCGGACCGGTGGCCAGGACCCAGGCAGCGTGAGTGCCACTGAAAATCAGCTCGCGTGCCGGCTTCGGCACACGTGCCATAGGTTGCCTACCCCTGGTTTAGCTTGACAGGATGTAGCGTAGATTTCTTGAGGAAATCACGAGACAAATGATTGTTTGTCAGAATAGTCCTTTGTTTATTTCATTTTAACCTTGTCATGTGATTTTTGTGTGGTTTGAACAATGACAATGATCAATATCTATCTCACAGACACTGAGCGCTAGATTTAAACTCTGAGAGGCAGAGACTGAAATGGGGAAAGAATGTACTGCCTGATCCCTGCAGCGATGTGAGATACAGTCAGTAGGGGGAGAGGATGGGAGATGCTGGGAAACTGCTGGGTTTGCTCTTGAGATCCAGACAGCTGAGGCTGAGAACTGGAAACTCACTACACCAGTGCCAGAGAGAGACAGGAATTGTCCTACCAGTGCCGGGCAAAGCTGTCCCTGAAGTCTAAAGGGCTACAGATGACACCCCAAGAGGAGTGATGGGAAAGGGGCAGGGTCTCCTGCTTGCTGAGAGGATGAGCCTGGGCAGAAGGGAGAAGGAAACCAGGGAAATGAACAGGTCTGGCCAGCCCTAAAGCCAGACCAACCCAAAGAGAGCCTGTTGACCCAGCTGGTCTCCTCCTCACCTACCGCAGTCTCCCGCGTATGGACTATAGACACACTCTGGGCTCCCCGCATCCCACACAGCTACCCTCAAACCTGAACTCCCCACGTTTCCTGCTTTGGAACGTTTGCTTTGTGACCTGGTCCTGGTGTCTCTCACAGACTGTCTGTGCTTTTCTACCAGTTTTAACTCATTCCTCTCTCCCTGGTGCGCATGGAAGCTGGGAGCAGCGCTGGGCTGGGCCGGGCTGAGCATTGGGAGGGGTGGGGAAGGTTAACTTTTCTTTCTTGCTTTCAAATAATAAAGTAGAAATTAGCTTCTCAAATTCCCAGTGTCCTTTGTCTCGACTAAAGGATCCTAGCAGCCATCTGGGAAGCCTCTAGCCCCAGCCTTCACCACTTCAGACTACAGATGCCAGAACTGCCAACTCGTCGGGTTTTCTGACTCTTCTATGGGTCAGTAGGGAAAATCCATCATCTGCAGGGGCAGTCCCCTCTGGCTGGCATTTCCCATTCGCCCACCTCCTGCAGGAGGGGAGTTAATCAGTGTGGGGAGGTGTTTTTAATCTCGAGCTGCTATCAAAAATGCTGTCTGAGAGCTAGGTATGTTTTCATTTAGTTGTAGCCGAGCAAAAGGAGGCCGTACACCCAACTCAATGGCGTTTGTCTCTTGGATGCAATGTCATGGGTATCAAAGGCCAGGGCAGGCTAAGTCTCCCCTAATCCAGGCTGTGGCCCCGTCCATGTTCCACCCCAAGGCCCCGCTTCCCTCCCCTCTTCCCTGAAGCCAGGGTGAGGCTCAGCTCTAGCTGGCGGCCTGGAGCTCGGGCCTGCCAGCTGCCAGGAACTGGTGCCACCCTGGGTTGGTTTGGGCCAGCCCGGGGTGGGGGTCGGTGCAGTGGCTCGGCTTGGCCCTGGGCGGCTTGGGGCAGCCTGGCCTTGCCTGTAGCTTGGGGCTCCTCCGGCGGCAGGGGGGCTTGGAGCTCCACCTTGGGGGAGCGCCACTGGTGGAAGGGGTGGGGCTAGTGGATTAGCCTCCCCGAAGGGGGTATTCTCCCGCCACCTATGCGTGATGTAATAATTTTGCTGCATCTGATTAAATTTTTTTTAAAAAGGGACTGTTCTAGGTACCCCTCAGGAGAAGGCTGGTGATTTCGGTGAACATCAGAAAACCGTAAAGGGACATGGGATGGCATCTGGTACCTAGAGCCATCTGCTTCAGCCTCGTCTGCAATTGTCTAGAGACCAAAGACCCGGCTGCTGGCAGCTACTAAGGCCTGGATCCACAAAGAGACTAGAAAAATCAATGAATGGGATCCAGAAAGCCTGACTCAGTCACCCAGGCTCCCTATATAAAGCATGGGGAGAGAGAGGGGCCTATGAATGGGATCCACAGAAGCCAGCGTGCTAGGCAGGGAGCTGCCTAAGGCCTGGTCTACACTAGGACTTTAATTCGGATTTAGCTGCCTTAATCCGAATTAACCCTTCACCCGTCCACACTACAGAGCCAGTTAATTCGAATTAAAGGGCCCTTTAAATCGATTTCTGTACTCCACCTCGACGAACGGAGTAGAGCCTAAATCGATTTTGTTAATTCGAATTAGGGTTAGTGTGGACGCACACCACCGAATTACTGTGTTTAAGTTAATGGGGTAGTGTGGCCGCACACCACCGAATTAATGTGGTTTAAAACCGAATTAAGGTGCTTAGTGTGGCCGCGCACAATCGAATTTATACAACCTGTTTCCCAAATTCGAATTATCTAAATTCGGATTAATCCTGTAGTGTAGACATACCCTAAGACAGCCAACGGGAGATGCTGAGGAGAGGGTACAACTTAATCCTCGCTCCTCTAATGGAGATAAACCTCTCCCTGCAGCCCAGATTTCGGGGCCTTGTAACATAAAGGCCCATGAGCAAAAGGCTCACTGTTCAATACAAGCAACTCCTGTCTCAGACCTGACAAACTCACTACACTTAATGCACTGTTTTCCTGGTATTGATCCATAAGGGGTAGCATGTGAGATCTCTACTGAAAGCTTATAATGTGTTGA